TTCTGAAGAAGGCACCTTCTTCCATCTCTCTTCCTCCTCCTCTGCAGCAAGATTCTGACCTGCGATCTGTTGCTGTCTCTGCTGAAGCTCTTGCAGCTCCTCAGTGGTTAGCTCTTTGTTGTGGTCCTCCACCAACTCTTCCACATCCTACAAACTCACATCCAACCCCATGGAACTCCCCAATGCCACAATAGATTTCACAACTGACATAGGGCCATCGGGTCAGCCCCAAACCCTTCAAAATCCCTCTGGCCACAATTTCCTTGATTTCCTTTTTCTTTGCCACAATGGAAGATATGGTTGTATGGGATTTGTTATACATCCTGGCCAGTTCGGCCACACGTATGCCACTTTCATATTGTTCAATGATGTTTTTCTTAAATTCAATCATATTTCTCACCTTCTTTACCAAAGGCTTGGCAGTAGGAGCTTTCTTTGGAGCCATGGTAGCTTATTTAGCACTTGCAAGCACTAAAATGAATGGAATATTATGAAATATTTTGTATGAAGAAGTGAGGGGACGGTGGTTCACTGGTACACAATGGCACACTGGCTGGGAAGGGAGGCCGAGGCGGCTCAGAGCCGTGAGTACGCGTCCAGGACGAATGACGATTAGCGAGTCAATCAACCATTTGCGAGCCAACGTTTGGATGAAAATAACGTGATGATTTCCAAAAAGAACAACTATCAAGCCCGACGATTATCGAGGGACCACCGTATCAGGTGATAGTGTTTCTTAGTCTATAATTTGTGAAAAGGCAAGGAAGTTGCATGATGATCTCATTAAGAGAATGCCTCAAAATAGTGCTGCTGCTGATGAATTTAAGGTCAGCAAAGGCTGGTTTGAGAGATTTAAGATTCGTAGTGGCATACACAGTGTGGTAAGGCATGGTGAGGCAGCCAGTTCAGACAAAAATGCAGTTGAAAAATATGTGAAGGACTTTAAGGAATACAAAGAGACTGAAAACTTAAAACTTGAACAAGTGTTTAATTGTGATGAAACAGATCTGTTTTGGAAGAAAATGCCAAACAGGACCTACATTACTCAGAAGGAATAGGCACTCCCAGGACATAAGCCTATAAAAGACAGGCTGACATTAATGTTGTGTAGTAATGCTAGTGGTGATTGCAAAGTGAAGCCTTTATTGGTGTATCACTCTGATACTCCCAGAGTGTTCCAGAAAAACAATATCGTCAAGCCCATGATGACACTCTTCAGGTCGCTTGTTTTATCTAGGCTGGAATATTGCTGCACACTAACAGTACCTTTCAAGGCAGGTGAAATTGCTGACCTAGAAAATGTACAGAGAACCTTCACGGCGCACATAACTGAGATAAAACACCTCAATTACTGAGAGCGCTTGAAGTTCCTGAACCTGTACTCCCTGGAACGCAGGCGGGAGAGATACATGATTATATACACCTGGAAAATCCTAGAGGGACTAGTACCGAACTTGCACACGAAAATCACTCACAATGAAAGCAAAACACTCGGCAGACAATGCAACATCCCCCCAATGAAAAGCAGGGGCGTCACTAGCACGTTAAGAGTCAATACAATAAGTGTCAGGGGCCCGAGACTGTTCAACTGCCTCCCAGCATACATAAGGGGGATTATTAATAGACCCCTGGCTGTCTTCAAGCAGGCACTAGGGAAGCACCTAAAGTCAGTACCTGACCAGCCGGGCTGTGGCTCGTACAATGGATTGGGTGCAGCCAGCAGTAACAGCCTGGTTGATCAGGCTCTGATCCACTATGAGGCCTAGTCACAGACCGGGCCATGGGGGCGTTGACCTCCGGAACTCTCTCCAGGTAAACTCCAGGTAAGGGTAATTTGTGTGCTGTGGAGATCAAACAGTAAGGCATAGGTCACTAGGGAATTTTATCCTGTCACAGAAGTTGCAAGCTGCATTGGCAACATGTACAATGACACTCTTGTGTCCCATTTTAAGGAAATCCTAAGGGCACATGAGAAAGAGCTCTCTGGACAGATATTTTGTGCGACAGGGGTCCAGTGACTCTCAAGCTGGTAATAGTGGCATTAAAAAACCAAGAAGGTAGGTAACCCCACCAAAGGACTTGGTACCCAAAGTCTTCATGGAAGGGGATTCTCCTTCCAAGCAATAGATAATCCTGAATCTCCCCTGCTGCTGGCACTCATCAACAGCTCCACAATAAAGGTAAGTGGCATTTAATTACTGTTTATTTTGCATGTCCCATTCGTTTTGGTGTAAGAAAATGTATACTTCATGTGAAAAAAAATTTTTTTTCAGACTTTGGGGTGTCAGGAATGGATTAATTCTATTTCCATTATTTCTTATGGAGAAAATTAATTCGACCAACGGCAAGCTCTCTGGAACAGATTAATGCCATTGGTTGAGGGTCCACTGTATTTGGTTGAAGGGTTAAACAACCAGCAGGTGGACATCATTGGGTTGAGACAGTCCAGAGGTCATCACACTTCAACCCAACAATCGCAACGTGCAGTGATGTATTATGAGTAGCTTTCAATTTCTTAAATTTTTTCACATTTTCCTGGGTATTATGCACTCATAAGATGGGAAGGGTATTACTCTGGGCATGCAATAATTATTTAGTAAAGAAAATTAACAAATAACTGAAAATGTATGTTAATAACACACTAATAGAGAATACATATGAAGACAAATTTCTAAGCTTATTCCTGAATAAATAATTAAATTTAATACTCATAGCAGCACATAATCAAAAGTAAAAAAGCATAAAAAAAGATGGTAAATTCTTACACATTTGCTACTATGTACCCTACTCTACATTCCTTTTCCTATACAGTGGAACCTCAGTTGTCAACTGCATCACTTGTCAAACAAATTGGTTTTCGAACGAGGAATTAGAGAAAAAATGTCCAGGTTTTCATGTTTTCTTTGTTGTTGACAGACAATGCAAATGGCTTGGGTCATGTGCTCACAGAATGCACACTGGACAATGAGTCGACAAAAAACAGTTACACAATGATAGTGTTTCAGAGACCATTATTTGTGAAAAAGCAAGGCAGCTGCATAATGAACTAAAAAAAAAAAAAGTGGAACAAGTGCTGAAACTCAATCCTTCAAGGCTAGTAGGAGTTGGTTTGATAATTTTAAGAGAAGTGGCATTCATAGTGTGGCTAGGCATGGGGAGGCTGCCAGTGTTGACAAAGTGGCTGTTGAAAAGCATGTTACTGAATTCCAAGAGTATGTAGAGGCTGAGGGGTTTGTCCCACAACAGGTGTTTAATCTGAGAGGCTTCTTCTGGAAGAAAATGCCCAAGAGAACCTATATAACCAAAAAGGAAAAGTCAATGCCAGGATACAAGCAAATTTAAGACATGCTTGCTCTGTTACTCTGTGGTAATGCAAGTGGCGACTTGAAATTGAAGCCCTTACTTGTCTGTCATTCTGAAAATCCACAAGTTTTTAAAAAAACAATGGTATGAAAATCAAACTGGCAGTTATGTGGAGGGCCAACACGAATGCTTGGGTAACAAGACAATTTTTTATTGAGTGGGTTCATGAGGTCTTTGCTCCCACTGTCAAAAAGTACCTCATTAAAAGCCAATTGCCACTCAGGGTTTTTTTATTTATGGATAATGCTCCAGCTCACCCTCCAAGCTTGGAAAACAAGTTGCTGGAGGAGTTCAGTTTTATGACTGTGAAGTTCTTGCCTCCTAATACCACTCCACTCATCCAGCCCATGCACCAGCAGGTCATTTCTAACTTCAGGAAACTCCACACCAAAGCACTTTTTGAAAGGTGTTTTGAAATCACTTCAGACACAAATTTATCTCTCAGGGAGTTCTTTAAGGACCATTTCAATATCCTCACCTGCTTGAGGCTTAAAAACAAAGCCTGGCAGAATGTATCTTCCAGGACCATTCAGTCAGCATGGAATAAATTGTGGCCTGACTTTGTGGCAGCCTGAGCCAGTAGAGGATAGTGTGTCCCTGGGAAAGACCTTAAGCCTAGAGGTGACTGAAGATGATGTGGAGGAATTAGTGGAGGAGCATAGAACTGAACTCACCGCAGAACCTGTTGACCTTCACAAGGAGAAGCAACAGATTGCAGCGGAGGAGCTGTCATCAGAGGAAGAGGAGGGAAAGGATGATGTGCCCATTGCACTTGTCAAGGAAATGTGTGCTAAATGGCATGAAAATGGCTGAAAAATACCATCCAGACAAAGCATGTACAATGATAGTGTAATGTCTCAATTTAGACATTGTTAAAATGAAGCCTGAAACAAACCTCACTGGACAGGTTTTAAATGAGACAAAGAACCAGTGAGTTAGAAGAAGTGGTAAAACATGACAAAGAAGAGAAACAACACCAGAAGGACAGTTGCCTAACATATTAATAGAAGGTGACTCTCCTTCCAGACAGTAACATACCCCCTCCTCTCCTCCATCTCTTGCATCTGGTATGCCATGAGCTCTCCTCTGATAGGTAAGAGGCAGTTAAATTTTCATTTACTGTACAGTATTTCAGTTAAAGTTTCTTTTAGTATTCATTTTTACAGTTTTATGTACTAGTTAGTACATTTTTAAGAAATTATTATGTCATTTGGGGTCTGAATCAGATTAATTCTATTCACATTATTCTTTATGGGAAAAATTGCTTTGGTTGTCATCCATTTTGGTTGTCAAATCAACATCTGAAACAAATCAGATTCGACAACCGAGGTTCCACTGTACTACATTTATCTATCCATATCTCATATATGGTATCTGTGCATGGAAATCAACAGTAAATTATTTCAAACCAATCATTACACAGCAAATGTCAGCCATTAAAACCATTGCAAACTCTTTTATTTAAACAAACACCAATCTCCTTCAAATCTCTTAAACCAATAGAACATAAAAGCAATTCGTGCATTCTACGATTCATCTAGATCTTCAGGACCTTAAACTGTAATGCTAATACACACATAAGGCTCTTCCTTGAGAGTTGTAATGGAATTCATGGGCATCACACAAGAGATAAATACCTCTCTGATATTCCATGTGAACGACAGTATCTGTGGAAAAATTCTGTGCAAATCAAAGTGCCCAAAACATGAACTAGCCTACCAGAAGAAACTAAAATCTATAATATATTAAGCAAGTTTAATAAAGGTGTCAAAGACCAGTGTCTGAACTCATAGGAAATCTTCACCATAATATCCTATTGCAGCATGCCTCTGCTTGTGTATATATATAGTACTGTATTATTATTACCAGTGATTTACTGTGATTAATTCTTTTGTGTCTGAATTAAGCTACAAATTAAAAATCTCATTATTCTTGATACTATAATCTAATTTTTTTTTTTACTAAACTGGCTGTCTCTTACCAGGATAAAGTGACTCACCATTCATTCAATGGCTGTCTTGCCAGAAGTGTTCTGACATCACAATTCATTGACCATCCAAACTAAAACATCCTCACACCGGTGAGATTTCAGCCCACCCAAAGAAATCCCTCGGCCCCTAAAGCCCCCTTAAACGCAGCTTCAAAACAGATCTACTAGCCTCCCCTACACCTGGATAGCCACCCTTAATCCTTTGACTGTTTTGGTCGTATATATACGTCTTACGCGCCACTGTTTCTGACGTATTTATACGCGTAAATTCTAGCAGCTTCAAATCAAGCAGGAGAAAGCTGGTAGGCCCACATGTGAGAGAATGGGTCTGTGTGGTCAGTGTGCACCACATACAAAAATCCTGCAGCATGCAGTGCATAATGAGAAAAAAAAACTGACTGTTTTTTTGGATTAAAACACCGAATTTGAGGTGTATTTTCGTATAGTATTTATCGTTGCATTCTCGTTTTCATGGTCTCATGTGATAAAATGGAAAACATATTACAGAAATAGAGATGATTTTGATTAGTTTCACGATGAAAACGACCTTGAAATTGAGCTCAAAGTAGCGGAAATGTTTGATTTTTACCAAAGTTCAGGAGTAAGCAAATCACACCACACATCCAATACACATCAACTGGGGAGTCTAGTATTCTTTCACTAGTGCACTGATATTATTTATACCATTTTTACAATAATGCAGTAGTCTGCATAACAGTAAATTTTGCATTTTTTGTATGAATAAAAAATCAAAATAGAAAGCAATAGTAATATAAGAGGGGCCTAGAGACACGACTAATGAACAGAGGATATGTTATTTTAGTGCCAAGAATGTCTACATTGTTTATTCTGGACCCTATTTTGAAATTGGCATCTTTTTTAATTTGTGTGAAATTGGCCAAGTTGCCAATTTCTGACCACTTTATTGGGTAGTTCAAATCGGTAAATGGGCGGTTTCTTGTACTCAACTGATAGAAAAAATGGAGTTCTAAAGAAATAGCTATGAGTTTGGTCAACTGGAACAATGGAATTGGCCAAAAACAGGGCTCAAAGTCGGCAAAATCGCCGATGTGTATATGTCCCCGAGACCGCTAACTTCGCGGGAGCATAATTCCATGAGTTTTCGACCAAATTTCGTACTTTTGGTGTCATTACCATCGGGAAAAGATTCTCTATCGTTTCACAAGAAAAAGTAATTTTTTTTTTTTCAAAAAATTTTGCGACATAGAATGACAGTTTCATAAAGGGGCTTGCAACAGTCAAAGGGTTAATTAAGCCCCACCAATACAGAAACTCTTGTGCTGCTCCTGTTTTCAGCCATCCTTCAAGGTGCAGGCACTGTACTTATCACCTCCAAGACTCAAGTCTGGCTAATTATTTTCAGTGAATTTTTTTATAAATGAAACCTTGTTCACATTCCAACAGAACATAAAATACCAAAAATCACTTATCCCCACTCACGTGGAACTAACATGTTCACATATACCTAATGGATGCTCAAGCCACTACCACTTAAAACTTCCTTCACCCCTCTCTCCAACCTTTCTTGATATGATTCTTAACCCCTACCTCTTCTTTCAACCAAACCAGATCTATACGATCTTTCTAAATGAGAAAACTGCCACACAAACCCTTCATCCACCCCTCTAAATTATACCCTTCTTACTCCCACATCACCTTCTAATTTACATGTTCTTAATTCTATGTATAATGTTCATAACACACATTAATCTCAAACATGACATCTCCACTGCTTCCAGTTTCCGTCTTCCTGCAACATTAAAGACCATGCCTGCCACCCATATAAAACTGTTGGGTACCTTTCTCTTTTTGCCTCCAATGATGAAATTCTTTCTCAGTACTCTATATACCTTTGCTCACCTCATCTTCCATGACCCAGTTTCTAACACATCCAATCCCACTTATCTAAATACATTTGCTTTCTCCATACTTCCACCAATCTGATGCCCAACCCTCTACTGTCAACTCTTTTTTTTACTTGCACCAACTTGCTCTTTCTATGTTCACTTTTAATCTCCTTATTTTAAAGCCCCTTCCAAACTCCTAATGCACCCTTACAACTTTTCTTCAGAATCTCCCCAAAGTACTGTGTCATTAGGAAAGTGGTAAGAGAAAATGCTTTCACCATTACTCGCTTAATCACTGTTTTGCCAGAAGTGTGCTGATAAGACAGTGTATGATAATTGTTACAATTATTATTATTATTATTATTTGTAAAAGTAGTATTATTGCCATTATTATTTTTTTTAACTCAATAGCCATTTCCTGCCAAGGCATGGTGATCCAAAGAAAAAAATACATTTACCAACATTCATTCAACAACCTTCTTTCCATAAATATGATGACATCACAAGCAGATTATCCTTCTGACTGCAACATCCCCACCCCTTCTTAAGAGTGAAGGCATTGCTTTTCCCACCTCCAGGACTAAAGTCTGGCTAATCGGTTTACCCTGAAGCCCTTCATAAAAGTTATCCTTTTCATGCTGCAACAGCACATCCATTAAAAAACACCTGTCTCCACACATTCCTTTTAACATGCTCACACAAGTCTGCCTGATGCTCAAGCCCCTAAAACTCAAAGCCTCTTGTACCCCCTCCTTCCAACCATTCCTGGGATGACCCCTTCCCCTCGTACCTTCCACCCTCTTCACATGTCCAAACTATCTCAAGAACCCCTCCTTAGCCTAAAGAATTATACCCTTGATCATCCATCTCCTTTAAATTTGTAAGGGGTTACTAGCCCCTTGCTCCTGGCATTTTAGTCACCTCTTACAACATGCATGGTTTACTGAGAAAGAATTCTGTTCCACTTTCCCATGGAGATAAGAGTAAATAAACAAGAACTAGAAAGAAAATAGAAGAAAACCCAGAAGGGTGTGTGTATATATACATCTTTCCTTCCTTTCAACACAACGGCTGTATCCCACCGAGGTGGGGTGGCCCAAAAGGAGAAACGAAAGTTTCTCCTTGTACATTTAGTAATATATACAGAAGAAGAGGTTACCAGCCCCTTGCTCCCGGCATTTTAGTCGCCTCTTACGACACGCATGGCTTACGTAGGAAGAATTCTGTTCCACTTCCCCATGGAAATAAGAAGAAATAAACAAGAACAAGAACTAAAAAGAAAATAAAAGAAAACCCAGAGGGGTATGTATATATATATGCTTGTACATAAGAACATAAGAAAGGAGGAACACTGCAGCAGGCCTGTTGGCCCATACTAGGCAGGTCCTTTACAATTCATCCCACTAACAAAACATTTGCCTAACCCAATTTTCAATGCTACACAAGAAATAAGCTCTGATGTGCAAGTCCCACTCAAATCCAACCCCTCCCACTCATGTACTTATCCAACCTAAATTTGAAACTACCCAAAGTCCTAGCCTCAGTAACCCAACTAGGTAGACTGTTCCACTCATCAACTACCCTATTTCCAAACCAATACTTTCCTATGTCCTTTCTAAATCTAAACTTATCTAATTTAAATCCATTACTGCGGGTTCTCTCTTGGAGAGATATCCTCAAGACCTTATTTATATCCCCTTTATTAATATCTATCTTCCACTTATACACTTCGATCAGGTCTCCCCTCATTCTTCGTCTAACAAGTAAATGTAACTTAAGAACTGAGCTGCATAATCTAGGTGAGGCCTTACTAATGATGTATAAAGCTGTATGTGTAGTGTGACCTAAGTGTAAGTAGAAGCAGCAAGACATACCTGAAATCTTGCATGTTTATGAAACAGAAAAAAGGCACCAGCAATCCTACCATCATGTAAAACAATTACAGATTTCCGTTTTACACTCACTTGGCAGAACAGTAGTAACTCTCTGGAGGTTGCTGTCTACCAACCTACTACCTACAATTCACACTACATATTGCTCTCACACATAACATCACTGCCTCTAGCCTCCCTTTTGCTGCAGCATTCAAAACCCATGCCTCACACCTATATAAAAGTACTGGTCCCACTATACTCTGGTACATTTCCTTTTTTACATCCACAGATAAACTTCTTTCTTTCCCAATACAGTGGACCCCGCCTTACGAATGCATCGTGTTACATTAAATCTGCCATACAAAGCATTTGAATGCAAAAATTCTGCCTCGCCTCACGATAAAAAGCTCGCCTTACGTGATTCGTCTGGGACACGTCCCACGTGTGGCCTCAGCGCCAGTGTTTACAAGCCAGCCAATATAGTCGCATCTACTCATACACTTGGTACATTTCACATTATCCCAGTGTTTTTAGTGCTTGTAACTGCAAAATAAGTCACCATGGATCCCAAGAAAGCTTCTAGTGCCATCCTTGTGGTAAAAAGGGCGAGAATTAGTATGGAATTGAAGAAAGAGATTAAGGAAATGTGTGCAAATGGGTTGAACTGCAAACCTTTATGGATGAAAATCACCCTGACACAGCTACTGCAAGCCGTGTTGGCAACCTGTACAATGACAATGTTATGGCCCATTTTAGGAAAGTCTTAAAGGAACGGGAGGTACAGAGCTCTATGGACAGATCTGTTGTGTGACAGAGGTCCAGTGACTCAAGTTGGTCCTAGTGGCATTAAAAGAAGGGAAGTAACCCCAGAAAAGAACTTGCTACCTCAAGTCCTAATGGAAGGGGATTCCCCTTCTAAACAATAACTTCCACACTCCCCTCCTCCCATCCCATCAATCATCACCAGATTTTCAATAAAGCTAAGTGTCATGTATTCTATTCTTAGTAGAGTAGTAATTGTGCATGTCTTCTTCAGTTTGTGTGTATTAAAATTAATGTTTCATGTGGTAAAAATTTTTTTTTTTCATACTTTGGGGTGTCAGGAACGGATTAATTTGATTTCCATTATTTCTTATGGGGAAAATTAATTCAGCTAACGATAATTTTGGCTTATAATGAGCTCTCAGGAACGGATTAATGTCGTAAGGCGGGGTCCACTGTACTTCAATACACCATGTACCATTATTTCCCTCATCTATTTTATCATTCACCAATTTTTCATAGACTCATCTGCTGACAAGTCCACTCCCAAATATATAAATACGTTCACTTCCTCCATACTCCCTCCCTCCAATCTGATATTCAATCTATCACTGCCTAGACATTTTTGTTACTCTCATCACCTTGCTCTTTTCTTATTTCACTTTTAATTTCCTCCTTTTACATTCATCCACTAACATGTGAAATTTGCCTTCAGAATCCCTTAAAAGAACTGTCATCAGCAAAGAGCAACTGGGATAACTTCCCAACGCCTTACTGTTTACTATCTTCACAATCCCATCTACAAATATGTTAACAACTATATAGACATCACACGTAGGTCTAGACCCTACTTTTGCTGGAAAACTATACCCCTCTCTACTGCAAACCCTAACCTGCATTTCACTGCCTGCATAAAAACCTCTAACTGCTTTTAGTAACCTGTCACCTATTCCATATATCTGCAACTTCTACTACATGGCTCTCCTATCCATCTTATCATATGCCTTTCCTAAATCCATAAATGCAACAAACACCTCTTTTCCATTATCCAAGTACTTTACACTTATATGCTTCAATGTAAACATTTGTCTATGCATCCCCTGCCATTTCTAAATCCTCCCTGCTCCTCTCTGTCTTACCCCTAAAACTTTCAATAACAGTCATACCATAAATTTTACCTTATCTTGTACATTCATGTCCTCTGCCAATCCTGTGGTACCTTCCCTTCTTTCATGCATATAATGAAGAAATACACCAACCACTTAACACTACATCCTCCACCTGCTTTTAACATCTGTCTTAACCCCATCTATCCCAGCCACTTTACCACCTTCATTCTACCTGCTGCCTTCCCTACATCCATCTCAGGCTCTTCCTAATTCTTATACAATATTATCCTTCCCTGCCCATGCATAAAATCAAAATATCCTTCTCAAAATATCTTTTCCATCTTTCTAGTATCTCCACCTCCCCACTTTTATTCTTAACTGCTAAGTCCATTGGCTCTCCAAGCTTCATTTTATTTATATCTCTCCAAAGCATCTCATTCTCAACAAAATTTTCTGATAAAGACTCACCCATTCTCCCAATGGCTCTCCTTTTGCACTCCTTCACCACTCTTTTAACCTCCCTCTTCCTCTAGTTTACAATTTTTGCACTGTTCAAACATTGTTTTTTTTTAAACAGAGTGGCAGTTTCTCACCAAGGCAGGGTGACTCAAAGAAGATACATTCACCAACATCACAATCGGATTACCCCTCCAACTGCAACATCCCCAACCCTCCTTCAGTGTGCAGGCAACACCATTCATGACTCCAGGACTCAAGTTTGTCTAACTGCTTTCCCTGAATCCTTTCATAAAAGTTACCTTGCTCACACTCCAACATCACGTCCATTAAAAGCCACTTGTCTCCATTCACTCCTAACACACTCACACAAGCCTGCTGGATGCTTAAACCCCTAAAACTCAAAGCTACTAAAAACCTCTCATTATTATTATTATTATTGTCTATTTTATTTTACACCTGTTACACATATAGATTTAAAATGAAATCAAGTAGTTGCAGTGCAATGCTTAACAATGGTTTGAATATCTGGAGAGGATGACTGACAGTAGGCTTTTATGTAAGATAAACCAGAGTGCAATACATGCAGTGTGATGGCTAGACAGCCTAATTTATGAAAGGGGAAAGTAGTGGGTTACTTATAAGATAGGTCTCACGGCGACTTTGGAAGTACAGTATAGAACATGCTACCTGGAGACTTTCCTGTCGTGGTCATCCTTTGGATAGGAGTTCCCAGGGAGAATAAGGGGCTATGAGACAACAGTAGATGATAAATAAACAGTACAGTGTATCTCTTCATGTCATCAACATACCTAAGGCAAGTCCTTTGCTGTCCCACCATTCCTCTACTGTTGCAAACTTTGGTTCTGTTGGTCCACCTTTTCTTGTTCCACTTATCACACCACCTCTCTCCAAAATTCCTACATGCTTTGGTGCAGATGCATTATTCCCTTGCACTGTATCAAGCCGGTTTAAAATTGCCCCAACATCATTGCCAGAAGGTTCAGCCCCCTGCTGGTCAATGATTCGATTCAACACATGAGATGGGTAGAAGTCTTCAAGCATTATGGTAGCTTGTTTAAGAGCCAACTTTAATTCTCTGGTAGTCAGCTTGATTTTTGACCTGATAAGATATAAATACAAGTTATTATAGCAGATTAGTTTTATTCTATACAACAGCCTAAAAATCTTTATGTTCTGCACATCTTTGCTCTGAACAGAGGATATACTATTTCTGGTAATGGTCATTGATAGCAAACCTAGTTAATGGTAGTAAATAACAAACTAAACACAAATAAATCATCAAATACAGCATTAACAAAGTACCATTTTGGAATTTTCTAATATATGACTATTCTTCTTTCAACACACCGGCCGTATCCCACCGAGGCAGGGTGGCCCAAAAAGAAAAATGAAAGTTCCTCTTTTTAAATTTAGTAATTTATACAAGAAAAGGGGTTACTAGCCCCCTTGCTCCCGGCATTTTAGTCACCTCTTACGACATGCATGGCTTACAGAGGAAGAATTCTGTTCCACTTCCTCATAGAGGAAAGAATAATTTATTTCCTCCTAAATTTCCAACTTATAGGTGATTATACAGTACATGGTTTATGTTTAGAAATTCATTTACCTGATGAAAAAGACACATGGGGAACATCTGGGTAACTTTATTAGGATTTTTTGCCTGCACATTAAATCTTTTCAATCAAATGCAGGGATATGATTATGAAGACTTTCAAAGTAAATCTAGTTGAGGCAGTTGTAGACATTGTCACATGTGAGCAAAACCCATTAGCAAAAGTAAGTCATGCCCATAAGGTGGGCCAGAGGTCAGTAAAAGAGTTGAAGATATCCTCTGCATCAAAATTACATCATGTAGCTGTGTCAGACAAATAACATTAGATCAAAGGTATATACTACCCACAAGTTGCTGAATAAAACATATGCAATACCTGGGTATCTTTACTGGAGAGATATTTCATGCACACAGGAAGCATTTTCTTTCCTCTAATGCAGGGTCATGATGACAGAGACTTTTATAAAGGAGTCAGTTTCCCTATAATCAAGTGTTGCACATGTCTTATTCATCAACTTTTCAGTATTGTATACCTCTGACCTAATGATAATTCATTATTATAATAGTGTTTTTAACTACCAATGTCTTACCTGACACTGATAGGCAGGCCCAACGCCAGATCTCTTCTCCGTCTGTCAATTTTTTCTTGCAGTGTTAGAATTAAATCTCGTACTTCTCTTTCCACTCTGTCATAGTTGCCAGTTCTGCCAATAACGCCACTAAATGGACCAAAACAATGCTGCACAAAATCCCTGAAAACAGCAAAAAATTTAGTTTTAACATGTGTTATTGTACTTAAAATAAAAAGGAATGGCATACTAATAAAAATGTGTGGAGACAAAGTAATGTACTTGTATATAATATAGAAGTATAATAAATGTGCCATACTTAACCAGAGATAATAAATATACATATCTTAAATATCTGCTAACTGCCAGTATATAATTTATACAGCACTTCTTTCTCAAATTTACTATTAATTAAACAATGCATTTTTTAAAGATGAGGCCTAAACTATATAATGAACTTATACAACACTTATATGGGTGTGAAGCATGGGTTGTAAATGATGCAGCGAGGAGGAGGCTGGAACCAGTGGAGATGTCGTGTCTAAGGGCAATGTGTGTGGTGTAAATATTATGCAGAGAATTCATAGTGTGGAAATTAGGAGGATGTGTGGAGTTATTAAAAGTATTAGTCAAAGGGCTGAAGAGAGGTTGTTGAGGTGGTTTTGTCATTTAGGATGGAACAAAAAAGAATGACTTGGAGAGCATATAAATCTGTAATGGAAGGAAGGTAGGGTAGAGGTCATCCTAGGAAAGGTTGGAGGGAGGGGTAAAGAGGTTTTGTGGGCGAGAGGATTGGACTTCCAACAAGTGTGGAGTGTGTGTTAGATAGGAGTGAATGGAGACAAATAGTTTTTGGGACCTAACGATCTGTTGGAGTGTGAGTAGGGTAATATTTAGTGAAGAGATTCAGGGAAATCGGTTTGCCGGACTTGAGTCCTGGAGGTGGGAAGTACAATGCCTGCACTTTAAAGGAGGGTTTGGGATATTGGCTGTTTGGAGTGACATCTAAACCGTCATGATTATGTATGAATGATAGCGAAAGTGTTGAACGATGATGAAAGTTTTTTCTTTCTTTTTGGGCCACCCTGCCTCATTGGGAAATGGCCGACATGTTAAAAAAATATATAAAGGAGACTGCATAGTCATTTTAATTACACAATAGGTGTATTAAAGAATTTTATGGTCTGATGGCCACAGACCAGTTTTCAGAAATTGTTTTCCTATTTTGTCTCTTCTATTAAGAAGAAAAATTAAAATTTGGAAACATTTAAGAAATTTTGGAATTGGCACGAAAACAAAAGTTTATACAGTACCTTAAAACATTTTAGTGTAATTTTCAATGAAGTGTCGGGATAAGATTTTTAAAAAAAATACAGTGGTACCTTGAGTTTCAAACACCTTCCAACTCGAGCAATTATGTAAGTGTATTTTTGTAAGTGCTTTTGTAAGCGTATTTTTGGGGGTCTGAAACGGACTAATCTAATTAACATTATTCCTTATGGGAACAAACTCGTTTGGTAACAGCATGCAAACAGCCTTCTGGAACGAATTATGGCCGAAACTCGAGGTACCACTATACCGTACAACATTATACACCACACTCTCAATTCCTATTCATTAATATAATTCTTGAAATGCAAGAAAAATCTGTATTATCTTATTTCTCAAATGATCCTCCAAACTGGAGCATCCTACATGGGCCCACCCTTCATAGTGCAAGCACTGTACTGTACACCTCCAGAACTGAAATCTGGCTTACCAGTTTTCCTTGAATCCTTTCATAGATGTTACCTTCCACTCTAAAAAGAAAGCAAAATTCTAAAAATCATTTATTTTCACTTATTTCAATCAAACTTGCTCACATGTGCCTGCTGTATGATGGAGCCCTTACCTCTCTAAATAACCCTCGTATCAAATTTGTAACCCTTTCTGGGATGCTCCCTATACTACCTTCAATCTACCACTGATTTCTACACTCTCATGGTCATCTTATCTTTCCTACACCTTTTGTAAATAATCAAACTACCTGAACAAACCCTTCTGCTTCCTAGATTGCACCTTTTATACCACACCATCTTGCAATTTCTTCACTCCATTTTTTTTTTGTTTTTGTTTTTAATCTCAATGGTTATCTCCCACTAAGACAAGAGGATTTTGCTAAAAAAATCATCTTATCTCTCAATATTAACAAAATCAGCCAAAACAACTTCTAATTAGTTACATTATGTGACCTCTAGTCTTTTAAACATCTGCCAATCCATGAAATATTACTGCTTGAGCAACTTCAACATCATTCTTCTTATAAACCTCCACCTTGACTACCTCGCATTATTATTAAGATTAAATAAGATTTGAATAAAGTGAACCACTATTATCTTGTCTAGTTTTAAGTTATTATGTACTAGGGATAGTCTGCCTGAAATGCCCCAGCATGCCAGTGGCTTTCTTTGTACATAGCAAACCAAAATTGTAATTACACACTGTAACCTTTACAAAGAAATAAATCTTTATGTTTACCTTTATCTAAAGAAGAAAATACATTCACCATCATTCATTCGACTGCTATCTTGCCAGAAGTGTGCTGGCATCACAAATTAGATTGCCCTTTGACAGTAACATCCCCACCCATCCCTAAGAGTACAGGCATTGCCTGCCAACCTTATTATCTGATTAATCCTCACACCACACAGTCTGTGTAATACAAAATATTCTATTCATCAGAATTTTGAAAAATGTTATGTAATAGAAATACAGAAATGCACAAGATGCTAAATATGAAGTCCCATACTAGGTGACTGATAGGAAGATATGAGGAGTTATGATTACCACACGAAGTTATAAAAGGGTATAATTTTGTATTCAAGATTTCTGAGCAACATCAAGAAGAAAAACAAGAGGCAACAGTTGTAAATTAAGAAAGGAGTGGGCTACAAAAGGAGGTAATAAGTTGCAAAACAAGGAAATTTTTTAAAAATTATAGATTAAATACCAGACAGGGTATCAAGAGCACAGCTCTGCAACTATAATTATAAACAGATAACTGAAAATCAAAGCATTAAAAATCTATGAAAAACTAAATACAGTGGACCCTCAGTTAACGACATTAATCCGTTCCAGAGAGCTTGTCTTTAATTGATTCTGTTGTTATCCGAATTAATTTTCCCCCATAGGAAATAATGGAAATCCGATTAATCTGTCCCAGACACCCAAAAATATTAAACAAAATAATTTTTTTTACATGAAGTATACATTTCCCTACACAGAAAACAATGAGACATGCATAATAAACAATACTAAAATGACACTCACCTTTATTGAAGAAATATTAATGAGTGATGAGCCTGGAGGGGAGAGGATGGAAGTGTACTATTGTTTGGAAGGGAAATCCCCTTCCATAAAGACTTCAGGTACCAAGTCCTTTTCTGGGGTTACTTCCCTTCTTTGTCTTTTAATGCCACTAGGACCAGCTTGAGAGTCACTGTACACCTGTGGCACTAAATATCTGTCCAGAGAGCTCTGTTTCTGGCATCTCTTTAAAATTTCCCTAAAATGGAACACAACATTGTCATTGTAGATGTTGCCAGCACAGCCTGCAACAGCTGTGCCAGGGTGATGTTCATCCATAAATGTTTGCACATAAGAAAGCAGGAACACTGCAGCAGGCCTGTTGGCCCATACTAGGCAAGTTCTTCACAAACCATCCCGCTAACAGAATCATATTTGCACAACTCAATTTTCAATGCTTCCCAAGCAATAAGCTTTGATAATTCTATTCACTCATGCACAAGTCCCACTCAAATCAAATCATGTATGTGGGGAAGTACCCTGGTTGGTGTGTGGGGAAGTACCCTGGCTGGTGTTTGGGGAAGTACCCTGGCTGGTATGTGGGGAAGTACCTTGGCTGGTGTGTGTGTGGAAGCACCCTGACTGGCATGTGGGGAAGTACCCTGGCTGGTGTGTGGGGAAGTACCATGGCTGGTAAGTGGGGAAGTACCCTTGCTGGTGTGTGGGGGGAAGTACCCTGGCTGGTATGTGGGGAAGTACCCTGGCTGGTATGTGGGAAAGTACCCTGACTGGTATGTAGGGAAGTACCCTGGCTGGTATGTGGGGAAGTACCCTGGCTGGTATGTGGGGAAGTACCCTGGTTGTATGTGGGGAAGTACCCTGGTTGGTATGTGGGGAAGTACCCTGGTTGGTATGTGGGGAAGTACCCTGGCTGGTGTGTGGGGAAGTACCCTGGCTGGTATGTGGGAAAGTACCCTGGTTGGTATGTGGGGAAGTACCCTGGCTGGTGCACCACCATCACTCTCGTATCTTTCTACCAACTTTTTCTTGAATTCTATAGTATTTACTCACCCTCTTTACAAAAAGGCATGCACTAGAAGCTTTCTTTGGGCCCATGGTGGCTTATTTAGTAGTTACAAGCACTAAAAACAATAGAATAATACAAAATGTATCACATGTACATGTGGAATCGTCCTCACTGGCTTGTAAACAATGGCACACTGGCTGTACATGGAGTGGCCAGGCCACTCAGGCCGCACAGACACGTTCGGGACGAATGACTTTAACCGAGTTCTTTGTCATTAACTGAGCCAATATTTTGACGCAAAAACATGTCGTTATCTGATTTTTACGCTATCCGATGATGTCGTTAACTGAGGGTCCACTGTACTGAGGATTTAATGCCACAACCATAACACTGCTCCTGTAACTCAATAGGTACTGTAATCACAAACAACTACAATATTGTAATCATTTGCATGCAAAAACTTATTAATGAAGTGGCTTACGTGTAAACATGAAGTGGCTTCTGGATAATAGCTTCCATCTCATGCTGATACACTGCCAGTTCATCCATTTCCAGTCTTGCTTCAAAAGATGCTAATGCCTGTTCACAGCTTATCTGCAAGTTATGCATTTACATTTTTCTTAAAAACAAAAAAATAATTCTGATTATAATATTAAAAAGATCAAGTACAAAACCAAAATGCAGCATGCATTTTTTTGTCATTGTGTGTATGATATTGAAGGGCTTCAAGAAAATTAATTTTTTGATGCAAAGATGAGTAAGGATAACTTAAAGGGGTTGTACTTATACACAAATAACCTGCACACAGGAGAGAGGAGGTTACGACAAAGTTTCGGTCCGACTTGAACCATTTACAAAGTCACACTGAAATGTCGTCGTAAGTTCCTCTCTCCTATGTGATGGTTATTTGTGTATTGTTCCAGTCATGGTACTGTGCCTTTTTGTTATTTAGGGGTTGTACTTCTAGATATAAACAAAGTACAGTACTAGGCACATGCAAGGTATGAACATATATACACATACATACACAAATTTAAATTTATAGAACAATTAAATTTTAGATAAACTAATGGTGAAAATTTAGATGAAATAATTCATTAAAAAGAACACACCTGGTAATAGAAATTATTATGTAAGCCAGGTCCTGCTATACGCCTCACAAGGAAACTATCAGAGGCTGGGATACGACCACGCTTTTTAATTACAGCATGGAACATAATTGCATCCCAGACATGTCTTAACCCACGGCGAACTAATCCATCTGTAAGCAACACATGAACTGAATATGTATGTTGTTAAATATTTACACTTACAAGTATTTCTGCATTAAAATATTGTATTTCTTATTGTTCTTTTTCAAGGAGTTCCTAATACTACCCACAATCATATAACTTCTGACTAACTTGGTATTAACACAAAATTATGATAAGAGACCATACTTACACAATAAAACAGCAGCTGCTAAAACTGGACATATTAAGGTTGCTGTGAGAAAAGAGAAAATGGCCTGTAACACCCCAAGAACAATAAGATGAAGACCAATTGCTTGAAGAATGGCACTCCATTTTCTCATTCCAGTTGGGGAGTCTATATCATAAACAAATATGCAGGCAATGTGCGTTAGCAGGACACATGCAGGTACCCTGTTGATGAGAGTTACAAATAATCAACAAACAAATACATAACACAAAATTTAAGTTAGCATATGTGTGTTGTATGTAATGATAGACAGTAAACTAACAAAAGAAATAGTATACAATACTTCAAAATGCCTGAAATTAACTTTTCTCCAGGAATTTGAATAATACTCTTCTAAATAACTGAAAATTTACTAAAAAAATATTTAACAAGATTTAGAATCATTCAGCAAAGGTATACAATTGGGTGAAAACTTCTCTCAACTATGTACCTAATATTTTGTACCTTTTATTTTGGTAAAAGTACAAACTCAAAACCTCAAGTCAGCTTTAACTGCATTATGATGCTATTTAAACATCTCACAAGGTCACTGGTTAGTAAACCCTCTCATAATGTAGGGGTTACGGTTATGTAAAATCATGTTATATGAAGAACATCGGCAGAATATGGCCATATTCCAGACAGTATCAAAGTTAACCCTCTCTAATATATTGTTACCACTATACTACATAAAAATCACTACAGAATAAATAATCTCACATTCTGTTAGTCATTACCTGAAGCATCCAAAGAGTGTCTTCAAAATTAATGTGGACCTACTGGGCAGAGTTGGATGAAGCTGAGGTGGCTATTTAATAAACTGATACAATCTCACCAAAAAACTTATTGTCATGAGATCAGTAACACCTCTTGAAACTCTCAAACCATCCAGTACATAATTTTAATTTGTTGTGAGGGCTCTGCTTCCTTCTTTTTTAAACTATTTTATAGTAAGACAGGGGTTTGCACCTTATTATCATAGCACTTGAGGGAGCCCTTCTCTGGGTTATTTCCTTAATCCTGCACTGATCCTTTTGACATTCATTAGAGAAAGTGACAATCTGTACTACTTATGCACAAGCATTTATTCATTTCTCATAATTTTTAATTATACAACTGGTCAATAACTTTATTCAAAACTCATAGCTAATTTGTCTCACATGCACCCATTCTAAGTATGTCTTCCACTGCAATCCTCTATAACACCATCACAGATTCCTGCTTATTCTTTTTATGGTCTCCAGCAACACTAGTATTCGTCTTGGAATGCTAGTGGTGCACGACACCCCGAGAATGCAAATGTAGATGGTATAGGTGGTCATTAAGAGGGAAGGAGTCAAGTAGTATGGTGAGTAGCACCCAAATTTTGAATGTAATAATGCTATGGAAATTTATGGTGTGTTGTAGCAAAATTTTGCTTGTTAGCTAATTATTTTGAAGATTTAAATCACGTAATGTCATAGTTTTCTCAAGTGGCCAAATTTTTTTGTAGTACTATTTAACTCTTTCACTGTCCAGACTCCAAAAAATAATATTGCTTTCATGTGAAATAGTAGAAAATCTGTTTTTCTGAAGGTAACGACACCAAAAATACAAAATTTGACAGAAAACTTGTGAAATTATGCAGGCACAAATTTAGCAGTCTAGGCACACCTTACACACTGACAATTTCACCCAATTTGAGTCCTATTTTAAGCCAATTCAACTGCTTCATTTGACCAATTTCTTAGCTATTTTAGTATGCCTTTCATTCTATCAACTGAGCACAAGAAACTGACCATTCAACTAACAGAAATACGTACCCTATAAAGTGCACAGAATTCGGTAATCTGGCCAATTTTACACAAAAATAAAAAAATTCTGATTTTAAGAGAGTGCCTAAAATAAACAATGTAGACATTCTAAGCCCTAAAACAACATTTCCTCCACTTATTACTTATGTCCCCAGGCCTCTCCTATTTTACACTTGCCTTCCATTTTGAATCATAATTGCACAAAAAACAAGATTTACCCTATTTCTCAGATAATAAAATATAACCAGGAATGGTTGGTCAGAGTTTATGATACCCCAAATAATTGAATCAGACCTATTAAAAACCAATAAAATAGACTGGGGGATGTAGGGAGGCCTTTTCCCATCTACAGGAAAATCAGCAAAAATACAAAATCAAATACAGTCGACTCTCAACTAACGGTGGCATTAAGTAATGGCAATTTTGTCTAATGGCACTTTTTGCCATAGAAAAAATGCCTTAACTAACGGCGAAAAACTTAACCAATGACGTTTGTCCAGAACATTTCCCCATCCACTCCATGACTCAGTGTGCCACTGTTTACAAGCTGTTGCGGTCAGTTTCCACGTGTGCCTCCCATACATTTTGGATTATTCCACTGTTTCCAGTGCTTGTAACCACTAAATAAGCCACCATGGGCCCCAAGAAAGCTTCTAGAGCCAGCCCTTTGGTAAAGGATGTGGGAAACACGATAGAATTCAAGAAAAAGTTTGTAGAAAAATATGAAAGTGGTGGTGGTAGAGGGTGGTAGTGATGGTGGTAGAGGGTGGTACTGGTTGTGATGGCAGTAGAGGGTGGTACTGGTTGTGATGGCAGTAGAGGGTGGTACTGGTTGTGATGGCAGTAGAGGGTGGTACTGGTTGTGATGGCAGTAGAGGGTGGTACTGGTTGTGATGGCAGTAGAGGGTGGTACTGGTTGTGATGGCAGTAGAGGGTGTACTGGCTGTGATGGCAGTAGAGGGTGGTACTGGTTGTGATGGTGGTAGAGGGTGGTACTAGTTGTGATGGTGGTAGAGGGTGGTACTGGTTGTGATGGTGGTAGAAGGTGGTAGTGATGGTGGTAGAGGGTGGTACTGGTTATGATGGTGGTAGAAGGTGGTAGTGATGGTGGTAGAGGGTGGTACTGGTTGTGATGGCAGTAGAGGGTGGTACTGGTTGTGATGGCAGTAGAGGGTGGTACTGGTTTGTGATGGTGGTAGAAGGTGGTAGTGATGGTGGTAGAGGGTGGTACTGTTGTGATGGTGGTAGAAGGTGGTAGTGATGGTGGTAGAGGGTGGTACTGGTTGTGATGGTGGTAGAAGGTGGTAGTGATGGTGGTAGAGGGTGGTATGGTTGTGATGGCAGTAGAGGGTGGTACTGGTTGTGATGGCAGTAGAGGTGGTACTGGTGTGATGGTGGTAGAGGTGGTACTAGTTTGTGATGTGGTAGAGGGTGGTACTGGTTGTGATGGTGGTAGAAGGTGGTAGTGATGGTGGTAGAGGGTGGTACTGGTGTGATGTGGTAGAGGGTGGTAGTGATGGTGGTATAGGGTGGTACTGGTAGTGATGGTGGTATAGGGTGGTTACTGGTTGTGATGGTGGTAGAGTGTGGTACTGGTTGTGATGGTGGTAGAGGGTGGCTGTGATGGGGGTAGAGGGTGGTAGTGATGGTGGTATAGGTGGTACTGGTAGTGATGGTGGTATAGGTGTACTGTTTGATGGTGGTAGAGTGTTTGTACTGGTTGTGATGGTGGTAGAGGGTGGCTGTGATGGTGGTAGAGGGTGGTAATGATGGTGGTAGAGGGTGGTACTGGTTGTGATGGTGTAGAGGTGGTACTGGTTGTGAAAGGTGGTAGAGGGTGGTACTGGTTGTGATGGTGGTAGAGGGTGGTACTGGTTGCGATGGTGGTAGAGGTGGTAGTGATGGTGGTAGAGGGTGGTAGTGATGGTGAGGTTAGGAGGGTGGGTAGTGATGGTGGTAGAGGGTGGTAGTGATGGTGGTAGAGGGTGGTACTGGTTGCGATGGTGGTAGAGGGTGGTAGTGATGGTGGTAGAGGGTGGTCCAGTGATTCTCAAGCTGGTTCTAGTGGCATTAAAAAACCAAGAAGGGAGGTAACCCCGCCAAAGGAGTCTTTATGGAAGGGGAGTCTCCTTCCAAGCAATAGATAATCCTGAATCTCCCCTGCTGCTGGCACATCACTCATTAACAACTCCACAATAAAGGTAAGTGGCATTTAATTATTGTTTATTTTGCATGTCCCATTCCTTTCCACATAAGGAAATGTATATTTCATGTAAAAAAAAAATTCAGACTTTGGGGTGTCAGGCACGGATTAATTCTATTTCTATTATTTCTTATGAGGAAAATTAACTCGACCAACGGCAATTTCGACCAACAGCAAGCCCTCTGGAACGGATTAATGCCATTGGTTGAGGGTCCACTGTACTTAACACTACTTTGAGCCCAATTTAAAGCTACTGCCAATCTTGAACCCAACTAAAATCATCTCCGTTTCAGTAGTATGCTTGCCATTCTATCAAATGATACCAAGAAACAGCCAATAAAACTATTAACCCTTTCAGTGTCTGTCCCACAGTACTATGGCTTGAGAGCCAGTGTCAGTCCCGTAATACTATGCCAAAATTCTAATGCCTTCAAATCTGGTGGAAGAAAGCTGGTAGGCCTACACATGAAAGAATGGGTCTGCATGGTCAGTGTGTGCAGTATAAAAAAAATCCTGCATTACACAGTGCATAATGAGAAAAATAACTCCAATTGTGTTTTTGGTTTAAAATGGTGACTTTGCGGTGTATTTCATGTGGTATTTACGGTTGTATTCTCGTTTTCTTGGTCTCATTTGATAGAATGGAAGATATATTACAGAAATGCAGATGATTTTGATTGGTTTCACGATGAAAAGCACCTTGAACTTGAGCTCAAAGTAGCAGAAATGTTCAATTTTTGGCGATGTTCAAGAGTAAACAAATGTCCAATATGTGTCCAACTGGCTAGCCTAATATGCAGTCACGAATGGTTTGACATTATTTATACAATTATTATAGTACTGCAGAAGTCTGCATAACAGTAAATCTTCTATTTTTTTGTGAGAATAAAAATTCAAAATGGAAAGCAAGAGTAATATAAGAGGGGCCTGGAGACGTGACTAATGAACAGAGAAAATGTTATTTTAGTGCCAGGAATGTCTGCCTTAGTTATTCTGGACCCTATTTTGAAACTGGCATCTTTTGAAATTTGTGTGAAACTGGCCAAATTGGAACAATGGAATTGGCCGAAAATAGAGCTCAAAGTGAGCAAAATCGTCAATGCGTAAATATCGCCGAGAGCTAATTTCGCAAGAGCATAATTTCGTAAGTTTTCCATCAAATTTTGTACTTTTGGTGTCATTACCATCA